TCTGGGCAAAACTGAGCGCGCTGTTGCAGATTTGCCAGGGGAAGACCAAACCCCGGTGCCTATGGAGAGTTGACGCAGCAGTTTCTCAGCGTCCCCTTTTTAACCTTAACAGATTGCACAGCGTTCATTCAAGAAAACGTCCGGAAGGGGAAGCACTTCCTTGCACCGGCTTAGTCCATGGGCTCACGGTTGGTGCCTCGGCCCTTTCCTGCTGCTTATCCCCAACTTCTCTGCCCAGAAATGAAGCAGGGAGAGTTTTGTCCTTCACCTTCTGACCCTGCCCTCGGAGTTCCCAGCTCTGGGGCGGCATCCCTGAGCAGGAACAGCCTTCTTCAGTGCTGAACCTGCGCAGTGCAATGAGCCGGCTAACGCTGCAGGGGTTTAAATGAATATTTTGTGGTTGTTTTAAAAGAAGGGGCAGTGGGTGGGGGAGAGTGGGTGCGGGTGCGGCTGGAAGCACGTGGCAAGGGTTTCCAAGGGCGCTACGGCCAAAAGCAGGGCAGGACTGAGCTGGAAAGATGCTGGTTTCTACTGAAAATACGTCTCCGATGTGACATCCCAGCAGGCTCTGAAAATGTCTGTCTGTCTGTGAGCAAAGAGCAAGGGTGGCTCTGCTAAGCACCCAGGCCGGCGTCTGCACGCAGGGCTCACGCCTCCCCCCTCGGGTTCCCCCTGCACGGCACGGCCGCCTCCCGGCACGACCAGGTCGTGTTTAACTCGCTTCCTCGGGCATCGGAGCCTGACTTTGTGCTAAGAGCTGCGGCTTTCCATGTCACCTCTTTTAGTGGAGCCTTTTTTTGAAGGTGCAAACTGGAACTTTTTAGTTTTTTTCAAGATTTTTTTCCCTCCTCCATGCAGGTGACACCAAACTGGATGGGAATGTGGGTCTGCTGGGGGGAGGGGGCTCTGCAGGGGGACCTGGCCAGGCTGGAGCCATGGGCCCAGCCCAACTGGGTGAGGGTCAACAAGGCCAAGGGCCGGGTCCTGCCCTGGGGTCACCACAACCCCAGGCAGCGCTCCAGGCGTGGGGCAGAGGGGCTGGAAAGCTGCCCGGCGGAAAAGGCCCTGGGGGGGTTGGTGGAGAGGGGGCTGGATAGGAGCCAGCAGGGTGCCCAGGTGGCCAAGAGGGCCAGCACCATCCTGGCTTGTCTCAGGAGTGGTGTGGCCAGCAGGAGCAGGGCAGGGGGCGTGCCCCTGTGCTGGGCACTGGGGGGGCCGCCCCTCGACTGCTGGGGTCAGGGTTGGGCCCCTCCCTCCCCGAAGGA